GTTATGAAAGACTGATTAATTTGCACATCCAAAGCTACAGGAGAGAAAGACATTTCTGCAGAGAGTAAGCCTGTACCACTAGGAGTAAAGGAATAGCTGATGCAACAAATCTTTGTACCACTGCTGGTGTATTAGTACTTGCTATTCCAATCCTCACTTGTGGTTGGAAAGACGCAATCTTAGTTTAGAAAACAAAACAAAGCACAAAATAACCATTATGCAACTCCATCTGCCTCTGCTGTAAAGAATTCTCCTTGCCTAAAACACTGAGTGTTTAATTGTAGGACTTTTATCATCATCATCATGGGGAAACACTAACCAATGGACCCTGTTCATCTCCTTCCCCAATGCGATCCAAACCTATTGCTACAGGCTTCCCTAAACAGCACTTGACTATTTTCTGCACATGAAATAACATTTTTCCAAGYCCTTATTTTATTTCAGTATGAGAGCAACACCTGTATGAAACATTAGAACACCAATCACCCTCAACCAGCATCTATTCAAGGAGGGGAGCTCCAATCGAGGCTTTGCATTTCTGCAATCTGAAAAATGTAAGTCTTCAGGAAAGACTGTATCAGATTCAGAAAATTTCAAGCTAAAACTGAGGGCCAATAACCTCTTCCACAGCTGCCATAAATGAGCATGTGATTAGCCATCAGGTATCTGGGAATAACACATATGAAGAGAATGACATGAGCTCTGAAAACAGAATTGCATTTTTAATTCAAACTTATCACCTATGTTACTTTCAAATAAGCATGTCCCATTTATATTTTTTCCCTGAAAAAGAAAATCCCATTCTATYCAACTTGCTGAAGTCACTCAGAAATATTTTCTAAGTCCTGAGAACAGAAAAGTCTTCTGCTTCAAGGTGGAAAGGCAATGACACTCTCCCTTCTTCCACAATGACTTTTGTTTGAGAATGCAGCCTGGTCCTAACTCTAACCCACTGAAAAAGGGGTTTTTCRTAAAGACAAGAACTATATCTCTTCCAGATTACTACTGTGACAGCAACAAAGCTTACAAGATTTCATCAAATCTATGTCTACATTTTGAGTATTTCAGTAACAATATCTCACCTAAAACTAAGTCAACTACCAAACTGCGCGCTTGTGACGTACCAAAGGTTTCTATAAAGAAGCAGAAGGTCTCTGGCACGCTGCCTTCAGCTCCTGCAATACAGCTCAGTACACTGTGCAGCACTACTACTACACAAACAGGTGCTACAGGCTTTAAGACAGGAACTCACGTGTACTTTGTGAAAGGACCATCACCTATAGCTGGCTATCCACGTGGCAGGGAACACAGGAGTGGGATTTACTGACAAGCTATACACCTCAGCACATGCAACTTAATTCTCATGCCTAGCTCTGTRTTTTACTGTGGCTTGGAGTAGTTACATGTTATTCGTAACAAATATTGTGGTGTACTTTGGAAGGATACACTATGAACTTCACTAAATCACTCAAGTGGTTCCCACAAACTCCATTTTTAAAGTCTGAATAGTTTTTTTATTGTCTCAATAGGGCTTTTAAAGACATTCTGGTGCTTTTCTGGCACCATTATTTAAAGCCTTTTACCCAATGTACTAACAAAGCAGCTGGTTTGGTTTTATTTCTTTTGTCTCTGAGTATTTTGAGCTTTTACAGACTAAAGCCTTTCAACCAAAATTTGTGAGCAATATACCAGAATACTCACCTCTGCTACAGACTGAAGACTCCGGGCAAACTTGAGCTGGTTAACACCATGATGCACAGGTTTACCATAGGTTGCACCTTTGGGGACTGGGCGTTTGCGACCACCACGGCGAACACGGACACGGTAAATAACGTAACCTAAAACAAACGGCACSTTAGGACATAGAACAATTCTAGTAGCAATTTTCACCCCTGTACTGTATTGCCAATCCCCAAAAATTTACATAAAATACTGCAACATGAAGTCATTGTACTAATTTTTACCAAAATTTACAACTCGAAGTGAAAAGTACAACATTTTTTGTCATTTTCATTACAATTCAGTAARGAAAGTCATATCCTGTCACAACTATTTTTTGGTTCCAAACAAAAGCTTATGACACCTTTCCAGTCCCAAACAGACTAAGGTCAGCTACAGCTACATTGTAACAGAATCATAAAATAACCCCACCAAAATCRCTACCTGAACCCTACAATTCAGATGAGAGCACTCACAAAGCACTGAAGCTATCCACAAACCTGCTGAAATCTGATCACTGTGAAATGAGGAAACCAGATGAATGATCACAGAAGTGCCAAGTCTTATCTTTTTATCTTCTTAGCAAAWAAACATACAGGTTTTTTTAACAGGATTTCCTCAAGTTAAACATGGATGGCCACTTTCCCCATTTCTTTTCYTGACCAGTAACTGTCTTCCAATGACAGTACAAACTTCATCATCTTGCCYAAGTGCATACAGCTGTAATAYATAGTATGGCTTAGGTTGGAAGCAACCCTTAAGATCAGTGCCAACTCCCCTGCCATGGACAGGTACACCKTCCWTCAGACCAGTCTGCTCCGAGCTCCATCCAACCTGGCCTTGGATGCTCCCAGAGATGGGGTCACAATTTCYCTGGGCAACCTGTTCCAGTACATCACCACCCTCACAGTGAAGRGTTTCCTCCTACTATCTAACCCTACTCTTTTAGTTTGAAGCCATTCCCCCTTGTCCTGTCACTCTTGTGCAAGACTCTATCCAGCTCTATTGTAGCTCCTTTCAGGTACTAGGTCACAATTCATTCACCCTGAAAAAAACATGACACATGAAGCACATGACAAAACTTGGGCAGAGAAAGGACAYCCCCCCGAGCCCCAGGATACCAAAACACTGCACAACGCTGTGGCACTGATGTTGTACAAGAACAAAAATTGAGGTCAAAGCTAACTTGATCTTCACCTGCCGGAAGGCACGGATGCAAAATTAAGTGAGGTAGGCTGTGGGCACTGCTGCCAAATGAAGACATTTATGAAATTCTGTTCATTTCATGCAGGACACTTCACTTTATTGGGGCATACTTCAGTTTCAGGCTTTGTTATTCTGCTGTCACTGCAGGAAGCCAATGTCACTCCATCATGAGGCACAAGGACCTCACCTCTCTGTGCCATTACCTTGCTTGGCCTTGTATCCCAGCCTGCGGGCTTTGTCCGGTCGCGTGGGGCGCGGAGCCCGGTGCAAGGCCGACAGCTGGCGGTACTGCCAGCAGCGCACGCGCAGCAGGAACCGCATCACGTCCGACTGCTTCTTCCTCCATAGCTCCTGGATGTACTTGTAGGCACCCATGTCTGTCTACCTGCTGGATGGAGAGGTCAGTGAAAACAGTGCACCAAAAGCAAGTCCCAGTTTGAGCACCTTGCAACAGTGGCACTGCACAAAATCACACAGGGAATGGCACTGAAAGACAGGGAGCTCTCAAGCTTCCTTGTACCACTGACACATTTGGGAACATGGATCACACCTGGCAGCCTCCAGCACAACATGCTGTAGTTACCACTTCCAGCAATTTTCTTCCTTTTCATATGTTCTTAAGTATCAAACTCCTCAACTGAGGAATTTTCACGTGTTAGATCTGATACTACCAAACCCAACAATGAACACTTAAAACAAGTAGTAGGCCCCAATCTATAACGAACTATGGAACTGCAAGTACTAAGGCCTCTATTGTTAACACTTAAAAGTAAAACCTTACTAAAGTAAGTGAAAGTTTAATGGTTTTATTAGTGAGTAGAAGTTGATTAAGAAAATACTGCAGAGGGACTTTTGCTTTCTTAGAGCTATTTACATTGTGCTTTCCACATCTTAGGAGAGACTAGGCCTTCCTCCACGTCCCCTGAAACTGGGCTTTAAGTAAAATGGGACATACTCATCATGCCATACTAAAAAGAAGTGTCACAGCTCAGTGTCCTACTGCTGCTGACATTTGTGTTTTGCTCCATAGATGCCCTGCATTTTTAATTCAAGTTACTTTTTAAAATTATTTCTGCTGAGCATCACTGAGCTCAATTTGTATTGACTTCAGCAGAGCAAGGACTCAACACAAAGTTCCTACAGGTCAAATTTTGCCCTTAAAAACACAATTATTATTACACAGCCTCTCTTCTGAGTTGAATACCTTAAAAGTCGAAGGCATTTTAAAAAATCAAGTATTACTTTATTTTTTCATCGTTTAATTTCGTTTTCCTAAAAATCTCTGAGGCCTTATACATCTGCAGCAATCAGCACGTGTACCTGCATCCCATCAAGCCTCCACCCAACTCACCAACAGATACACGCAGGTCGCTTTATTTACAATTAAAAACACGTCAAAAAACAGCTCGTGTGTCATTCTGAATACCCCTCTTGTTCGAACCTGCCTAGCCATAGCTCATCCATTCCCATTCCCAGCCACCCCACTTTTTCACTGCAATACGGCACAAAAAGCCCCGCGAACAAACGGCAAACCCGAAGTAAACCAGTGCGCGCAGTCTGTCACCGATGTGCACCCGCTCTGTSGCGCCAGGGCCACCATGGATGTCCCGCTCCCCTCCCCGCCCCACCGAGGCGCAGCCCGCAGGCCCTCCTCCAGCGGCCTCCCAGAGGCCCCGCGCCGCAGGAGCAGCCCCATCCCACCCGGAGCCGAGCGGACGCGGCGGCACGGCGGGCCGATGGGCGCCCGGATCCCGGGATGGGTGCGGATTGAGGGAAAGGCCGCGCGCGGACCGGCCCTCACCTGATGGCGCCCAGGAAGGGAAAGGAAGGCCCCTGATTCCCACAAACCCTCGCGGCCAATCGCACTTCCGGCCGCGGCAGCGGTGCCTCATGGGCAATGTAGTCCGGCGAGAGGCGCCGGGCCCTGTRCCCGCCCCGCCCCGCCCGGCCGGGCCCGGCCCCCCGGTGCCGCCAATGGGGTCCGGGGGCGGGCCCTGCGCGGGTCAATGGGGCCGTTCGCTSTGTCCAGGTGCGCGCTGCGGCGGGGGGCGGCGCGGGGGCGCGCTCTGGGGCCGGGGGCGCGCTTTGGGGCACGGCCCGCCCGGGGGCTGCACTGGGGCACGGGCTCGGCGAGATGCGGCATCCCCTGAGACACCCCCTCCCCACACCCCCATAAGAGCCCCAGGTTAGGGACTGGGGTGGGAGTTTTCCTTAAAACCCTGAAAAGAATCCTAAAAAAAGAAATCTCTGAAATAATAATAATAATTTTTAAAATGGTAAGATTATGAGGAACGGCTGAGGGAGCTGGGTTTGTTTAGTTTCTAGAAGAGGAGGCTCAGGGGGAACCTCATCCCTCTCTTCAGTTCCCTGAAAGGAGGCTGTATTGAGGTGGGGGTCGGTCTCTTCTATTGTGCTTGCAGTAAAGGACCAGAGGAAATGGCCCTCAGCTGAGRCAGCAGAGACTCAGATTAGGTAATAAAGAAAATTTTTCACTGTCTGGGTGCTCAGGCATTGAAATAGGTTGCCCAGAGAGGTTGTGGAGTCATCAAACCTGAAGGGGTTTAAGAGGCATCTGGATCTAACCCTGGGTGACGTGGTTTAGTGGTTATGGGTTTGCAGTGGTAGTTTTGGGTTGATGTTTGGACTGGATGATCTTAATGATCTCTTCCAATGTAATGATTCTATTATATTCTAAATAATTAACCTTAAGGGCAAAATAAAAGCCCTAAAACCAATTCTAAAACCTTTTTGGTGTGGGGAAGGGAGAGGATGTCATGGAGTCCCCAGTTCTGCAGGCCCTGGCTTTACCCACTGATCTGCTCCTGTCCCTGCTCCCATTCCTCCTACATATGGCATGTCATGGCTTGGATGGGGCATTGAGTGAGCCGGTCTAGTTGGTGTCATCCCTACCCATGGCGTGGGACTGGAAGGAGAGGGTCTTTAAGCTGCCTTCCAGCCCAAGCCATTCTATGATCTYAGAGTTAGGCTTTCCCAGCCTGCAGGTCCTTTCTGCCTCCCTACCCGTGGCTGCAGGATAACCTTTCTGTTTTTCAGTGTATGCTTTTCAGAGCAGCCTGGCTTGTGGAGCATTACCTGGTTAAACCGGATTTGAAGCAGGACGACGCCAGCCCCTCCTGGTCCAGAAAAGGTACTCTTCAGCTCTCTCTGTGGGAAATGGCTCCAAACAGCAGTCAGGGCCTGCTGTCCTGCTGTGGCTCACTGGCAAAGGGAAGTGCCCCTAGCTGCTGGATACCTCTTCCTAGAACCAGCCCCCACCCATCCAAACTGATTTAAAGTCGACCAAGAAAAACCTGCTTCTGCTTTGCTTTCCTGCGCTTCTGCCTTTAACGCTCCTGTTTTGTAGTTCCTTGTCTGCAAAAGCTCGAAACTTTCTGTGGGTGAAACTTCCTGTGGTTTCTTGCATTTCCAGAAGCCATCCTGGTACCGTGAGACACCATCAGACCCACTGCAAACCCAGGAAGCCCCATAACACCCCACACACACACCAGCAAACACAGTCCCTGCCCCGGGGGTTTGCATGCTCCAGCTCTCCCAGTCTCCCTGAACCTGAGAGGACAAGTGTCGAGGCTGCAGGCAAACATCAGCAGCACTGGCAGCAGYCTAAAACCTGAAAAAATGGTGTGGGAGGAAACTAGTCCTAAAAATATCAGTCGCTGGTGAGCGCTGGGAGGGAGCTGTGCCCCCGCCGCTTCGCGCTTTGCCTTCCCGCCGTGCCCGTCCCTGCGCCGTGCCAGGCTGACAGCCTCCCGTGTCTGCACAGGGCTCCGCTGCACAACCTGCCCTCGGGAGCCATGGGAAAGGGCTACAAGGTGGTGGTTTGTGGAATGGCCTCAGTGGGAAAGACTGCGATTTTGGAGCAGCTTCTCTATGGAAAGCATACTGTTGGTGAGAYGTTTTTTACTTTCGGGGGGAGGTTGTTTCGTTTTCCAACATCTTGCTCTGTGCGGGCCCCAAAACACCAATAACAGGACTGTGAACTGCGTCGAGGTGAAGAGGAAATTAATGTGGTTTTGTGGTATCTCTGTGCAGATCTTAAAATTCATAGTCCCTTGCTTACTGATTTTTAAAGGAGCTTTGGAGAAGAACCCGTTCCGTGATGTTCCCAGTAATGAAACACAGGAGTGTTTAAAAAGAAACAAACATGAAAAGTAGGTGATGCGCCTGCTGCCTGTTTACAAAAGAAATATCTTGTTCCCTGAAAGATGCCGTGGATGCCTGAAAAATAAATAGCTGTCACATGATGAGTGTAGACACTGTTTAGACTTCTGTTTCATCTTCTCAAAGCTTTATTTTGCTTGGTTTTAGCTAACATTTAATCAAAGCTCTGGAAACAAAACCAGCTCAGCTTTAGGTTCCACATTCTGTGCTGAACTTCGAAGACCAAGCGTCTCTGCTCTYTAAAGAATCCTCCTGGGGAAAATAGACTTGACAGAGGCACAGGGGATGTCTGATATTTGCTGTGCACAAAAGAAAAGGAACAAAGGCAAAGCCAGCACATTTCCCTCCGTTTCCACATTTGGCTTTGAAACGAAGGGCACTGATCATCAGGCTGACAAATTATTCCTGCCTCACCTAGAAAAAAGGGGTGGCACCAGGGCTTTGACAGAAGATGTTTAGTCACTTTGCATTTTTTTTCTTGAGATGGTAAATTAGGCGCTGGGATAAATTATTGGATAAACACAAGGATTTCTAGAACGATGCTTTGCAGCACTGCACCTTTAAAATGTGTGGATGGGAGGAATCTGCTGGCAAAGCGTGATACAGAACTGTGTGCTAATACCCGTGTTTAAAAGGAGGATTTCCTCTAATGTTGCAGCAACATCTGTTTCCAGCATCCTACCGAGCGCTAGGCACGTAGCCCTGTGGAGCTTTCAACGTGAAGGCTGCAAAACCTGCAGGATGAAGGTTTTTGCCTTTKCTACCGACCTGCCTCTGCTCTGTGCCGGGTTGGGTGACTGTTCACAGCATAAGCAAGGCCACGTTACTTAAATCGTATTGCCTTGCATTAATTCCTGCCTCCTATTAGCAACCCAGGCAGGAAGGATATTCGGGTGTTGCTGATCAGAGGAGCTATTTATGGAGCCAGCCATGTACATGATTATACAACGTCATGGACACTGGCTGACAGAACCACCGGGAGGCCTCGTGCCTGGGGTTTAGCCGTGGGTGTCCCTCTGTCACTCCCAAATGCTCTGCTCCACCTTGGCCATTGAGCAATGCAGACCTGCCTCCCAGCTCTTAAAATGGTCGGTTTTCCTTGCCTGCAGCTCTGCTCTTTTTTTTTRGAGTTACTGGTAAGGGAAGGAGCAGCTGATAGTGGATGGGGAGTACAAGGGGAGAAGGAAGAAGGTGGTCTCCTGTTTTCTGTGATTTTGGTTCAATCGTATTCCTAAGACATTCGGAGAATGAGGGCAATTAGCAGAGTCAAGATCAAGATATGGAGAGGGTCATTACAGAGCTGCTGCAGACTCGAGATGAGTGGCCATGGCCCAACATTTTTGATATCCCCTACACAGGCCATCAGGCACATTTGGGGGGATGGTCTCATCAGCTGGTGCTTTCAGCAGTTCTGCTGAGTGGTCACCGTCCCCCTTGCCTCTTCCTCAGCACATAGGCAGTGGTGGCAGAGGGTGCCTGGAGTATGGGCTGATGGAAATGGTTTCTAAAACACCTTCAGCTACTGTTTCACTCTGTATTRATTCCTGAATTGCAGAGGTAGGATKCCACYGTGAGTCTCACTATGCGAGGACAGAGTTTCAGGAATGGCGAGTTGTTGACTGCTCCTTGGTGGAGCTGCTTTAAACTGCACAGTGGTGCTGCCATTGCAGGGGTGGCCCTTCCACACCTGACACGTGATCACAGGATCTTGATCCTGRTTTCCTAAAGCCTGTGAGCTCCAGAAAGCTGACATGTACCTCTTGGCKGCTGGCCTTTTTGGCCGGAGGCGAGAAAGGACTCGTGTGTTTGCTGAAAGCCTGTCTGCTCAGAGCCAGCCAGTAAGGCAGCTCACTGGGCATGGCAACATGGACACAAGCTGTTTCAAAACCTGTGCTTCCTGACTGACGTCAGCAGCAGCTCTGCAGCCGCTCCAAGGGCCCAGGAGCTGTGGGAGGATGGCCGAGCCAACGCTGGGAGTCTTTCCGTTCCGATGGCAGGCATATCCTCCTCTCAGGGACAAGAGGCATGCTAGAATGTGGCTGGGGGCTCAGAGCATGAGGTCTGCTGCCATTCTCTGAGATGTTGCAGCCACTGTCACCAGGGTCTCTCCCTGGCTGTAAATCAGCCATGAGTCTCTCAGTGCTCACGTGCCTCCTGTTGACTTTCCTGTAAAAAGGAGTGATGGCACAGCTGGTGTCAGGGAAGTGATTAGAGTTCTTGGAGGTTTCATGCTGCTATGTAAAGCTCTTGGCTTTGAGCCCATGCTCCTGGCTGTGGCCTTGGTGATGGTGCTGTAAACCCAGTTGCACTGTGTTCCTTTTCCTAGAAAAACGTGGCACCTTCAGGTCTCCCCGGCCTGTCAGGGATGAAGTCCATAAGTGCCACTGTTACTTACACAGACAGCAGCTAGCACTCCCACAAAGGCATTAAGGTTGCTTGAGGTCAAAGAGGAAAAAGTACTCAGCAAGAAGGAATACCCCTAAAAAGGAGTATCTGTGTCCCCATAGCATGTGAGCGACAATATCTGGTATTGGATTTTGTGCTAGGCTTTAAACTGCAAGAGAGTTTGCCTTCAGCCCCTTCAGGGATGGAAAGGGAGAGGACAAAAAGATGAGAGACGCTTTTAGAGCCACATAAAATAATGTAGCTATTGCATGGCAGACACTCTCACTAAACTAATACAAGGAATTGGGAAAAAAAAAACAACTGAAAGAAGATGTTTGAAATGGGTGCAGATTTAGCTTTGAGTCATGTAGGGACTGTATCACCATATCTCAGGACAAATAGTTGTTAGGAGTTGCACGTGTGCATGTGGTACACACACGTGTACAGCAGTGTGCCCAAGTGGCCAAGAAGGCAAATGGCATCCTGGCCTGTGYCAGAAATGGTGTGACCAGCAGGGCCRGGGCAGAGATCATCCTCCTGTACTCAGCACTGGTGAGGCTGCATTTCCAGTCCTGGGAAATGTCCAGTTCTGGGCTCTGCTCCACAGGGAAGGCATTGAGGGGCTGAACTGTGTCCAGAGAAGGAAGATTAAGCTGGTGAGGGGAAGGCTCTGGAGCACAAGTCTGAGGAGGAGCAGCTGAGGGAGCTGGGGGTGTTCAGCCTGGAGAAAAGGAGGCTCCCAAGGGAGACCTTATTGCTCTCTGCAGGWACCTGAYGGGAGTGTGTAGGCAGGTGGGGGTCAGTTTCTTCTCCCAGSTAACAACAGGACAAGAGGAAATGACTTCAAGTTGTGCCAGAGGAGGTTTATATTGGATATTAGGAAAAAATGTTTTCACTAAAATGGTGTTCAGGCATTGAAGCAGGCTGCCCAGGGAACTGGTGGAATCACCATTCCTGGAAGTGTTCAAAARACATGTAGCTGTGGCACCTGGGGACGTGGTTTAGTGGTGGGCTTGCTAGTGCTGATTTAACAGTTGATCTTACTAGTCTTTTCCAGCCTTAATTATTCTATGATTCTGTGATTGTCTGGTGCCTGGGATGATCTCTCTTTTTGTGACTTAAGTGTTGTGTTTGTCCAAATCCTCCACCTTCTCTTGCTGTCCTGAAGAAAGAGGGGCCCGTCTTATCTCCTCTGTCATGAAAAGGGTCTTTGACTGTCAGCAGATTGTCCCCCTGGGTACCTGTGGTACCTGGCACTGCTTGGCCTGACCTCTCTTGACCAGGCTAACAGGAGACTTGCTGGCTTAGCTTTGGCACARGACATGTCTATACAGAGGATGGGTATTTTTCCTTAAACGGTGTTCCTGTTCAGTGATGGTACAGAGAGGAGTCTTCCATCTGCCTTTAAAGTATTTCTGGTCTCTCAGCCTTTGGCAAAGCTTATCAGCACAACAGGAGGAGATGAAAATTCTCSCTTGTAGGAGACTTACCTCTGCTTCCTGGCTGTGTAAATATCTGGTATGGTCAGTTATTCATAAGCAGCTACGTCAGATCTTCTTACTAGCAAGGAATGAAAACACCATATATTGCTGTGGTAGGAGCCATAACGAGAGAATTTGACTCACTTGGTCCAGCTGGAGGGTTTTGGCTTATAGGGAGGATGTGGAGGCTAATTAACCTAATTATGCATTCATAGAATCATAGAATGGTTTGGGTTGGAAGGGACCTTAAAATCATCTCCTTCCAAAGCCCTTGCCATGGGCAGAGACACTTTTTTACATCTTTGCTTCTTAAATTAAAACTACCTTGTGATAGAGGTGCAGTCAACTTTGCATTTTAGAAATAGATGAAAATAGAACTGAATGTATGTAACTGAGGTCACAACCTGGTTATTTGTTGGTGGGACCACTACAGCCCTAGCAGCTAAATCCAAACAGACCATCTCCTCTTGAGGTCTGTCCAGCTCTTTCCCAAATCAGGGATCCTCTGATACATTGTCATTTGAGATCTAAATAARCCAAGCTTGCTATCCTGCAGTTTACAAACATAAGGAATAGCAGCCTTTAGGACCTCTTTTGCTGAATTCCTCTGGAAAAAGGGAAAAAGAGATTAGAAAGGAGATCTTTGAAAGTACTCAAGAAGACACAAAATTTGTATTGCAATAATGTTCAAGATTCCATCCATCTTGAAATTTTGATTTACTTAGGTATTTGCAATCTATCTACTGTGCCTAGCCTGAGTGTGCAGTATTCATTTAGTGTATTGAGCTTTTCCTTTACCTCATTAGGAAGCCACAAGGGGTTGGGTCACTACCCAATTTATGACTGAGGCTTCCCATTGCAGTTCCTCTGTGGCAGCAGTCAGTAACAAAGACCTTTCTGCCTCTGCTAAGATTTGCACCAGCTAAGTAGGTGCTAGAGAGTGGCATCACTTCTGTCTATTCCCCCCTTCCCTCTTCAAATTCTTTATATCTTTAATTTTCAAAGGAAGCATGACAGCATGACATTGTGTACAGTCTTTTTAGTTACCCTTCACCCCTGTAACTTCTGAACCTGGAAGTTCACTGTAGTGCTCTGCTCTACTCAAGCTGGCAGCAGTCTGCAGGACAGTGACTTCCCAGCACAAGCTGCCTTTGCCCACCCAGATAGCAGAGGTGAAATGCCTGGGGATGCCAGTGAAGGAAAGGAGAACAGGATCTTTGTGGCAGGGAGGATGGGATGGTGCCAGCACCTTTCTGGGACACTGACTAGTGTTGCTAYGCTTACAACAACTTGTCTGGCCCAGTTTGAATGGAGACCTAGGAAGTGTTTTAACAGGACGGTACTAACAAGAAGTGTAAATGTGATTGTCAGCAAGTTGTGGCTCACAACGTGGTCTGGGCTTTAGGAGCAGGGCCTGGAATAAGGTAACATARGTATTTCTAAAAATTATCTGTGTTTATTAAGGAAACTACTTATTATACCCCCTCCCCCAGTGCACGAAGGTGAAATTTCACCTCTGGAATCTGACACTGGTGCATAAATTTCAACTCCCTCCCAAGTGCATGCCCCCCCACCCCATTTCATATCAAAATTTATTGCTCTCTTCTGCTGAGTTAAGTCCCAGGTCTTAGATTTTCCTCTTCATTTTTAAATAGGAAGTTAAAAGACATACTTTTCACTGCTTCTTTTAATGCCATTAGGAAGAGATTGTCACAGGATAAAGTRGGTACATTAGAGGTTGTTGAATTACAGTGAAGCATTTAGAGGACGAAAAACTGTGCAATATTATTCATTGTTTTGTTTTGTTGTTTTTTTTTTTTTTTAATGTAGATACTTATGGTTCCCCCCATATTGCCAAAGCCTTATTTACTGATGCTAGATATTTCCTTGACCTGTCTGTACAATGCAACGAGGCAGAGCAAGAATATAGTGCTGTGTCTAAACAACAGTGCTGTAACCAGAAAGGGCTGTTTTACTACCTCAGTCTTTAAAAATGCCCCTTTAGCACACTCTRCAATCACACAGAATGCATTTGTGCTTCCTCTTTTTATTAACCTTTGCTTTGTCCTTCTGTCCTTAGTTTTGSTCCCACACATTAGCGTGGCTATATTTGGAGGCGAGATAAATTAAATCATTGGAAACCTAATAAGAGTTTGATCTGTGAAGACTGCACAGAGAGGGGCAAAAAGAACAGCTTGTGCCACTTTCCTGCACAGGAATGCTGCACACATCACGGCAAACCATCAGCGTGGGTGGAATACTTTAGCTTGTTTGTCAATGTGAAGTGTTTTGAATMGTGTCATTGAATATAGCAAAATCCTTATTTTCACAGGCCAGATAATCCCTTGTGTTGTCTTAAACAATGCACTAAAATGGTCTCTTTTTGGCAGACAAAGAGAATARAGCAGGACTCATTATTGTAGTCCTGCAACAGCAAACAATTGTATATAGGGGTGCAGTGGAGGCAAAAATGTGGGTTGCAGAGCGTTTATATRAATACTTAAAACCAACTCTGAAAGTGGCCCAGCTTTGCTATAAATAGGTTGTTGGGACCTGTAACCCTATGCATCTGCATCCAGGAGGAACACAAAGCTAAGGTGATTTATGTGTTTTCAGGTTTGKCTTAGAAAAAATAATTTTAATTAGTTCAAAGTAAGCTGTGTTGAATTACCTCACATTTACCGCAGGGAAAGGAGGAGGGAAGGAGGGCCAGTATGCAGATAATCACTGTGGAACAGGTGATACATACGAAAACTTGTTACCTTGTGCATGCTCTTGCCTTGCAGAAAATGAACTTGCTCCTATTAGCAAATCTGAGTCACTTAAAATCCTAGGGGATCAAAAAATCTGACCGGGTATTTGAAATATACTACGCAACTTTGTTTGCCTGCAAACATCCCCCTCCCTTTGTGGCTTGATTTCAGTTATTGGTTAGTTGTACCACCCATACACATTCATTTCCAGAATTACTCCTTTGGCTCCTGCTTCTGCAGTATGATCCAGCTCATTAAGAAGCAAAGAAGTAGGCTTCAGATGTTAGTACTTGACTRTCTGGTGTTCCCTGGCTGTTATTCCAAAAGGGTATGTTTGGGCAGGCTTGTCCATGCAAAAAACATGTTTTGCAGCATGTTTGGCACACAACTGGTACAACTGGGTGGTTGGAGTTTGGAAAACTTGGGAGGAGACCATATATCTTATCCTATTCTGAATGTGCATGTTGTATAGATTAATTTTACAGGCATAATCACATGCTTACATATTAATGAATTTACAGTGTCACTATTGGAAATAGCTAAGGCAGTCATCTACAAGTACAGCCCTCCATGGGATGCCAGGCAAGGTCAAAGCCTGGTCAAGTCACTCTGGAAAGCACGCACTGAAAGCTATTGTGGGCCAAAATTCTGCTGCACTGCAAAGAATCTGTATAGTRGGGCTGTACTTACAGCAGTGCAATTTTCCTGCTTGTTTTCAAATAGGATTAGAAGAGGGTGCCACAATGGAAGATGTGTATTTGGCATCGGTGGAGACAGACCGAGGCGTGAAGGAACAGTTGMGGCTTTATGACACCAGGGGCCTGCAGGAGGGCGTGGAATTGCCCAAACACTATTTCTCTGTGGCGGATGGCTTCGTCCTGGTGTATGCAGTGACCAGCCTCGAAGCGTTCCAAAGAGTCGAGCTGCTCAAAAAGGAGATTGATGTCTTCAGAGACAAAAAGGAGGTAAATGCATGGTTGGCCAAATGCTGTGTCAGTGATAGGAAGTTAAGGTCGCAAAGCCCAGCTTTTGTTTCTGTAAACCTCGTGTGCGAAGGAAAATGAATGTACCCACAGCCTTGGGCAACCCAGCAAAAAAGTGGCCTTCTCATGCCAGGCAAGCCTARTTCACATGCCACGCAGGTCATGCAAAAGAATGCTTTTTTTTTTCACCTTTACTACTGCTAAAATTCAGTCAGCTGAACACACCGGCCAGGACATTTACRACTAATAAAACATATGGTCTACAGCAGTGCAGCTCGTATGTTTTTTTAGATACTGTACAGGGGAAGTCAAGTGCATAGAATGATATAACGAAGGGCATTATCTTTGTTTGTTTTGTATTCATGTACTTGATGGCTTACAAACTAGTGTAATTGACAATGGGTCTCCCAGACATTAGTCAATTGGCAAAGCAGCTTTAATGTATTTTAACAACCATATTGAATCAATTCAATTGTGTGAAATGACTGCTCTATTTTCCCTTAGAAAGCAGCTAGTGTTTTCAGCTGACAGTGTTCCAGCTTAGCTGAACAAATATAACTTGCATGTGGCATTAGCATTACGGCTTTTCCTACAGTATCTTTATATTCTCGAGTAGCTTTCCCCGTTAAATGTCTTTAGCCTACAGCTTTCCAAATGCCTGTTTTATGCTGTTTAAAAGAAAAAAAAATGCATGAAGAATTAATTGGATAATGGCAGGGAGAGACTTTTCAAAAATGTAACTTGTTTTGTACTGACAGCACACAGGGTGGTGGAGGAAGGCAGGCTCAAGTTTGACGGCAGACGAATGTGCAGTCACGGGAGAGGTATGTTAGGTGGTAGGGCTGGTGTGAGCTGCAGACTGTCACGTATATCAGGGATGCAGGAGTCAAGCATAACTCCCCTGCAGGGCAAGGAAAGGTGGACAAGCAGGAAATTTTTCACAGTGCTGAGTTTTGTGAGGGCCCTGATTTGTTACTATACRGAGTGTTGTAATGTGGAGAGGGAGTTACAGCCCCAGGATCTGCATCCCGCTCTTCCATGTTACCTGTCAGAAATCTTCTAAAATCATGCAGTGAGAGAGAAAACGACCAGTTTGCTTGTCCTTTTGGCTTAAATTTGTGATTTTGACTAAGGATAACATAGTTAAAAGGGTGGTGCCCACAACAAGATGGATAAAATAGTTTTCATCCCTGTGATTTCCATAAAAAATAGGCTTTGAGTTGTACAAGGTGAGATCAGGAGTCCCACATTAAGACAACTGTTAATCAGCAGATTAATGGTTAATGATTCTATGACTTGAAGTCTGGGCTCTTCTAGAATGAATCCTTAACTGAATTGAGGATGTGTCTCCACACATGGTGCTTCTGAGCTGGCAGAACTTCAGCTTGTTGAGTGGCACAGTCTCCTGTTGTGTGGCAGATGACAGAAAGCACTGATGGCTGGTTCCTTGCCTCTGCTGGCTCTGGGGGCTCTCCAGCACGCACCTTAAAGCCTGGCCAAATTTTACAATAAATAGGGGTTTTGTTCTGTTATACTGACAGGGCTTTGGCATAGCTAAAATTCAGCTGGAGCATGCAGTAAATACACATGAAGATTATAGCTTCTTTCAAAGCCCTCGCAGACGGGGGGGAAACGGGAAAACCTACTAGACAGCATTTTTCCAAACACCCTGGACTGCTGTAGAAAATAAAGGAAGCCTCAGACCTCACAGGAACAGAACAAACCTCTCTAGCTGGAAAAAAGCAGAAGGCAGAAGGAAAGAGCAAGCAGGTGTGGCCACAGCAAAATCCATAAATCCTCAGCCAGGACTTTATCACTTGATCTTTGTCAAATCACTAATACAGAGATGAAAACAGTTTGACTGAGGACCTTGMACTAAAAATGTAGGCATGGTTTCCCCTAAGAGCTGATGCTGGTAAAACATTTTTAGAAAACAGTTAAAATAAGGAGGAGCAGTAGCTGCACGTGGGCAGCACTGCCTTTGGCACTTCCTAGAGCTGAAGTACCAGGAAGCCTGCATATACTTCCTGAGCTCAGCACCCCGGACTGTCTGGGTGACACACGAGTCACTTGACAGATCCCTACAACTACAGATCCAAGCTGATACCGCTGTGCTGCTCTCCTTGGCTAACCAGCTGCTCTTGAAACTGCTCCCCAGAGGACGCTGCTGCTGCTCATCTGCCCCTTTCAGCAGACTGTCCCCTTCGGTCCTTCTGGTGGCTCTTGGTGCCTGTTGCTGGGCAGCAGGTGGGGCTGGGATGGAAGAGGGGCCCCACAGCCCAGCCTGTCCAGGCTGTWGGCACAGTTGGCTTTATTTATAATGCAGGATGGGGCTTGGGATAGAAACAAACAGGGCAAAATCCACCACTGYGGGGTCCAGGCTTTCTCTGCTGCTGAGCATTTTTTCACCTCTCAAGCACYCGCTGCTGTGACCTACTCGGATGTCATGCTCTTATCATTTGTCTAGGGCAGCTCAATTGCCAAGTAAGTGGAGAATAGGGCTCTGTTTAACTTTGGATCTCTTGGATATTGTTTCCCTTCAAGCAATCATTGGGGGTGGGGAGGGAGCAGGGTGGAGAGAAGGAAAAATCCTGCATATCCTATGATTAAAACAAGCTTCCAACCCATAAGTAGATGAGGCTACTTCAAATCCCAGACCCTAATCTTCCAAACTACATGCAACCTACCTTGTACCAGTGCAAAATTACAGAAAAGTCTGAACTGTGTTGCTACTTGCTTGCTTTTTAAAAGGATTGTGACTGGTGGATGGTTTTGGTGTAAAGCTCACCCTCTTGTTTGGTTTGTAGGTTTCAGTTATTGTCTTGGGAAACAAAACGGACCTCCTGGACCAAAGGCAAGTGGAAACAGAAGCAGCACAGCAATGGGCAAGGGCTGAGAAAGTGAGACTGTGGGAAGTGACTGTGACAGATCGGAAAACACTGCTTGAACCCTTCACCTTCTTAGCTAGCAAACTGTCCCAGTCCCAGAACAAATCAACATTTCCCTTGCCTGGGAGGAAGAGCAAAGGGAATAACTGTGATAACTAGACTAGCTTAGCATTGTCTCCTGCTGCCAGGTCACAGTCTAAGTCTTTTTTGTGCCATTTGCTTCTTGCAGTTTCACCGAAAGCAATAATATCATTCAGCAATAAAATCAGCAAGCTTACAGCTAAGAGGTATACTTCCTTCTCGTGGACTTGGCTTGAAAAAGTCTCTAGTGGCAGACGTCTCAAAAAGCACTTCATGAGAGCAATTATTTTGCCATCAGGGTTATAGAGAAGGAAAATATAGATGGATACCTCTCTAGCAGGGGCTTTTACTATGCCTGGATACAGCCATGTTGAGGGACAATCAAGAAGCTTACCAGTACATAATCCCGCTGCAGATCTATAGCTTCTAGTCACAAAAAGTATTAGCTGCAATAAAGCACTCAGTTTGGAAACGTAATATGTTTGAAATGGCAACAGTTCTTTCACCTTGAAAGGCCACAGGGCTTTTTGATGCTACAAGAGGCTGAGATCAGTGCCTTCCTGTAGGAGAAGGATATGGGGCAGGAGGAACAATAACCAGATTTAGCCACTGATGTTCTGCTAGTGTCTGGAAGAAAGAAAACCCMAAAAAAATTAAAGAACACCCCCCACGTCTTCTGGAAAATAGTAGAAGAGATCTACCCCCCACATGAAGTTTGTCAATGAARTCTGGTAAGCAGTGCTTTCAGCTCAGGAATTTATTTGTAGAAACCAGAAAAGCTCTCAGAGTACTCATTAATTGAACTGCAGCCTGAAGGACAACATAGCTGCACGTGCTTTTGTTGCTGTGAATCTACTACAAACCAGTCACATTCCCATAGGTGGTAATTTTACTGAGAATGAAACAGATCAATTTTGTATGCACGAGGGATTGCWGGGCTCTGCTCAGGGCACGTGTACCTGGCTGCTCAGCCAAGCTGCAGCAATCCACCCTCCCTAGGTCAGATAAAAACTGGTACAAAGTGCTGTACTACTCTGCCAGTGGGGGCTAGGGAGTGTRGGAGGCTGCCTTTTTGAAAACAACCCCTTGGCAAATGTCCAGAAATACCTGTACTAATGGCCTTGGTCTTCATGCRCTGCACATGGACCAGCTGCAGGGGCACAACTGCATGTGCTACATTTGACTCAACACTGGTAAGCCTGTGCTGCAGGAATCAGCCTGTCAGGGAACTGAACAAAAGGGGATACATGGAGCGACAGAATGAGCAACTTTTCACAGACACAGGGGCCAGTTTTTGGCACCTAAAAACCTCTTGTACTGACTGATGCTAGCTTTTCTTTATATTTGAAGGCAAGAGCAGGCAGAGGGAGTGAAGTACCCAGTTTCTGTATTTTCCAGTAAGTTAATGCTGTTTTAAACAAGTACTGAGAATTTCACTGTGAATCAGCAAAACCACAAGCAATATTTGCACTGTCATAACTGTTAAATAGTGTGCTTAATGATAACAATTAAGCTTGTAATATTGCTCTTCCTGAACACTGATTAATAAAGTCTGTCAGCATTACYAAAGTCTGTCAGCATTATTAATGTCAAAGCAGCAGTACACTCCACTAAAAATGAAACAGGTATCCCTACCACTATAATGAAGGTAGACGAAACTATTTGCGTGCTTTGCTCAATATAGTTTGAATTGCTGTGGCCAAGGAGTAAGATAAGAGAGCAATTATGAATGAGCAAGCTCATGTAATGCCCTGCTAGGAACATACAATTGTTTCCATTGCAACACTGCAGCTGAGTAAGCACTATAGCACGACCTCCCCCAACGTGGCTAGTAATAGTCATTGTCCCCAGCCATGCTGCAGGATGACACTCCCTCCTCACTCATTTCCTACCGAACACGTGTACTCCAGCCTTCTCCCTATCCAGAAGACTTTGCATCTGCCTGCATGCTTGGRAAGTGGAGGCKACTGCAGAGCAGCAGTGGTTCACCYYCTTGCTGCAACCTCTCACCAAGGAAAAGGTCATGTTGCTCTTCTTCAGCTMTGAAGAACCCTTCTTCTAAAAGGGACTTGACCCAGCCTTGGATCAATCAAAATAAGTGAAGACTAACACCACATCACTAAAGCTGATCCTTAAGCCAAGGGAGTGCAGGCTGACAAGTCAGAATTAACTTAAAATGTATGGTGATGGAAAGAACGGGGATGATTGGTTCCTGTCCAGCTCTGCATGCTGCAGACTCGGTGCCAATTCTACTGCCAAGACTGATGTCACCTGCAGGCTGCCAGAGCTGTGCAGTGCAAGTGTACTTGCTCATTTGCTCCCCTGGACTCCGAGGACTTGACAATGTTTTAAGACAGGCAAGAGAAAAAGGATCTTCTAAATGACTAAGGCCATTTTTCCAAATAYGTTACATAAAGGCAAACATGTTATCTTTGATTTGGCTAAATTTRGAGTTTAGATCATTCAAGGCATTCCGATAAAAAAAAAAAAAAATCACCACCCACGGTTTTCTTTCAAAAACATATTCTGATGTTTTTCTAAATACCATAGTGTCTTATTGACAAGTGTTGGAAAATGTAGTGTCTCCTCTGCAGACAATGTGTATGCAGTGACTGGTACYGAATAAAAACAAAACTTGCTGTAGTAGATTTTTCTACGGGGTTAATAAGCAAAGTACAGAGTACAATGTTGTAGCTAACGGACAGAACACGTATTTTGTTCTTACTGTTCCACTGACTCAAACCCTGTTCTAGGTCACTGGGATCACTTACCTTCTGCAAAACTAGAGTCCCTTCACAAGATAATAGAGAAAAATTGCTATAAAGAAGAAAACCAAATTAGTAAACTAAACCATCTTTCTCTGTTCCTCTTAAGCCTCTATCCTGCTGAATAAACACKGTACAAATCAGTCTCCCCTACCAGTTACAACAGTTAATTTGACATGTCCTGGGGTCACAAAGCAAGAAGCTGGCAAAAACCTACTGAGATTATGCCATTTACCTCTTTACTCATTAAAGGAAAGATTACCAGAAATGCTCCTGGTGTGATGTAGCTATATACCAAACAGGCAAGGTTTGCCTGAGCTGAGGGAGCTCACACACCAAAACATGCACTAKGTCAAAAGATGTCAGTTCAGCCAATGAGGGTAAGGTGCTACTTCCCACAGCCACCCAGCAAAGGAAGGGACACTGCTAATTAACAAATTACTTTGGACCAAGTTAGAATTGCTCTGTATCTACACAGGAAGAGAAGAATGTAAATGAAATATACAGAGAATTTATTTTATAGTACCAAACCAAATTCGAGAGTGCAGATGASCACAGAGCACTAAAAAGAATGTTGCAAGGTGAAGCACTCGCCATGTGAAAATGAATCTGTGCTTCCGGCCTTTACCTTCAGGGAGTGGTCAGAAATGCCATATCCACAATTAACTGCCCTRTTGCTACACACCTCAATGTAAACACTATGTCTCTAGGAGATAGTCTTTATAGGTAGTTAAAGGATCTACAGATTAAGTCTCCTTTATACTCATTTACAGTGCTGTCTGCTAGCTTACCAGGACATGATTCCTTCTCCTCTTCCAAGTGTGAGTAGATCACTCCATCAGAAAAGCATCAAGAYATTCTTTTCTTCCTTTTACTTCCTGCCTCTTTCCCTTCCAGATGGCTTATACTTTTCTGCTTGTACTTTCAAACAACATCCTGGTCCTGCAGGGGCAATGCTGTAAAAATTAAACTAAAATGTAACTATCATGGACTCTGAGGCAAGTTACCTCCTCATGTCCATGTCCCTGCACAACACTTAGTGAACAACTGTGAAGGTCCTATGCTGTCATTCATTGTATGGTTGTCTAAAACYGTGTTCCTAAAATAGCAGCAGTCAGTGCACTCACCTGCAGTTYTCCCTTGTCTGTAACCATAGCATAAATCCTCGAAAGCATATGGAGACATCACACCAGCAAATGACAAAGAAAGGAACTAAGCAGAAATCTTTCCTTCTTCTTTTTTTTTTAAACATCTTTTTATTAGCACAGTAACAAATGCAGACTTAAGTAGCCCACAACATACAACCAATCCACTGAGTGACTCCTATTCCACACCTTACAGTTAAACAGCTTAAGGTATTTCACTACAGGTTACCGAAAGTCCTGATTAAACCCTTTATTCTTTTCACAAAGATAGATTGGCTTATAAAATAATACATTAACTACTTCTCATTTAATATATGAGGCCATATATCCACCTCTTCATATCACAGATCATGAGATGACAGTCTTTAAAAAGGATTTGTTAAATACCAATGTGCCCTCCATAGGAAAAAAAACAATCCCAACATCTTTTTACAAAAAAAAAAAAAAAGAAACTCAACCCAGAACGAAATAAATCCCTCAAACCCAAACAAACAGAACCCAAAAACAGTGTATAGAGTCTTGAAAGGACTTTTACATAATCTTCAACCTATGTACCTGTACAAAATTAAGCTGTTTTAATCTTTTACATATTGCAAGCAAACTGAAAACCAAAGAAGTCTAAGAAGTTTACATTCTTCTCGGTACTATATGTGAGCTAATATTGCTGAACTAATTACAGTCTTAAAGTATGCTATTCCAAATCCTAGCTGTCTACTGTAGCAAGATACCTTAAGTTACAACAACAAAATCTTAGGAAATAAAAGACTGAATAAAATCTGTTATAGAAATACCCTACTCTTTACCAGCACCCTCCCTCCCCCCCACCCCTTCAAAATCATAAGCAGCTCTTTCCATCACAGACAAATAATGTAAGAGTTTGACRAAAATCCAATTTATGTAGCGTATCTTTTGGTCCATTGTCTGGCCATTCTGTCATGCTCTGCTCTGTTAGTCATGTACTGAGTGGCAATGCTTCCAACCAGGGGGTCAGCTGAAAAGGAAACACACAGMTTATTTTAGACAAGTTACTGAATAAAACTTTTAAATAAAGCTGAAGTGTGAATTTAACACAAGGCAATCATACAGGTAAGGTACACTGTAACAATCTAAACATACTGAATTGATCTGTATCTTCTCTGATTTTGTGTATTTGTGGTGATGTACTAATCTGTAACCTAATGGAGTGAAATACAATAAAKTTTTAAGGAGTTTAAGACACRACARTCAATCATATTCTGCATAACTGAGRGTTTTTATCAATTCATGCATTTCAGGATTATTTTATTCTTTTTAAGGGTGCCTGAGATACTCATGCTAAAT